GTGGACTCCGCTTCTCTTCCTTCACACCGCGGCCTTCTGGTGTACTCCGCGACCTTGAACGCGAGGAGGCCTCCGCCTCGGGCAGGGGAGGGGCACGAGGTTCACGGGGAACAGCTCCCCGATCACGCTGGCGGTCGTCACGACGATCTCGATGATGATCTTCACGCTGCTTGGTGTCACGACTCCCGCCTTCGCCGCGCCGATCGTCACGGGGCTTGGTATCACGATTGCCGCCCATCACGATCTTGAATATAGTTGCCGTGATCTCGTCGAGATCCACCTCGGCCGCCGTGCGAGGCCACGATGTGGTCAGCTGCAGGCGCACGAGCCGACCCTGAACGAAGTCGAGGCTCTCGAAGCGGCCTTGCTTGAAGAAGATAGGCTTCTTGTTCGTCACGCGCTCCACGATGTGATGGGCCGTGGCAAGGTCAGGAAACTCCAACTCCACGCTGTGCCCCTTTGGGTGGGTGTTGGCCAGAATGCGATGGCAACGCACACATGCATCCTCGTCCTCCTGATCCTCCCCGCGCCTGGCACGGGCGCGCGCGCGTTCGTCACTGCTCTGTGCGGGTCCTGGGCCATCGTCGGCGTCCCGGCGTAGGCTCGGCGCAGGCATGCTCTTGGGTCTGGGATGCATGATGATCCGCCCTGGAGCATCAGCTCGACCCTCCACCGGACGCCTCTGGGCAGGTACCGACTGGGGAGCACGGCGCCATGGAGCGCGGCCACGACGCTCCTCGGCGCTACCTGCCATGCCAAACCAGTGGATGATCGGTCCATGCACCTGCCTTGGAGCCGGCGGCTTCACAGAGCTCCGCTGGTTGGGCGACGCTGGCTGGCCACTCTTCGGCCCGATCTTGTTGTACGGCTCGCGCTCGCCACTCCTCACCTTGGGGCACTCCGGGTCGCCACGCCAGTGGCCGGGCTGATCGCAGTCAGCACACCGGCTGTTAGCCTTGCGCTGGCCCGTCGGCTTCCGACCAGCCTGGAAGGAGCCGCTGGCGTTGATCTTCTTGGGGTCCCGCTGCCGAGGGGCAACGACCCCGCGCTTTTGACGCTGTGCCGCCGTCTTCTGCTTGGCCCTCCAGCCGGCCAAGAACGCTTCCTGAAGATCCTCCGGTGCCTCGTACTCCTCGTCATCTGGCCCGTCGTTGTCCGACGCCAGCTCCTCTTCGACCTCGGCGCCTTCCTCGAAGATGATCCCCTCGCCCGCTCCGGGGTCTCCATCGTCCTGTTCATCCGCTTCATCTTCGTCGTGCGGCGCCTCCTCCAGGTCGCCGCGGTGTTCATCGTAGTCTTCGCCGTTCTCTACCTCGTGCACGTGCTGGCCAGAGCGCCCTCGCAACGCGCATGGCCTGCGAGCCATGGGAGGGTGCGGATAGCGACCGCCCGAGCTCCCAGAGGAGCGCCCGTGCTCACGCTGCGCCACAAACGGCGAGCGGCGAGGGAGCACCGAGCGCTTCTCAGTGTCGTGCACCTTCGAGTAGGCTGCCTTCAGCACGACCTCCATCCGCTTCGAGTCGTAGATGCCGCCACAGTTGAAGAGCACCTGCGCTCGCTCCTTCTGCGACAGTCCAGCGCCACGAAGCATCTTGCTTGCCAGCGCGCGATCGCTGATCGCTGAAGTAGGATCCTCGAGCTGCAACTCCATGCGCTTCTTGCGCAAGTACGTTGTCCAATCCACGATGGGCTGCCCAGCTCGACGGTGTGCTCGCTCCCACTCCTGATGCACCTGATCGAGGCGCTCGTGATCCATCTTCTCGATGGCGTCATCGTAGATAGCAAAGATGGTTTCGAGCGTGTCCTCGCGTCGGAGGTCCGACGCATTGAGGACCTCGATGAGCTCTTTGGCTCGACCTGTCACTTGACTGTAGATGATCAGGCCCAGCTCCACATCTGAGAGCTGGTTGAGGTTGCGGATGACTTCAACCTCCTTGCGCCACTCTCGGTACTTCTTAGTACTCGTACCGACTGCACCATCGAACTCTGGGAGCTTCACCTGCGACAGCAGTAGACGTGTACGTCTGGGACCGCCGTCGCCACCACGATCCCGGTGTAAGGCCAAGAGCTCCCGCTGGGTCTCGGCCATTACGCGCAGGACTGCGTGCAGGTCCGGGGGACCTGTGCCAGCAGAGGACGCAGCCTCCGCATCTGAGCCGTCCTGGCTAGCTGCCATGGCGGCCCACGCAGGTGGTCACGACCACCAAAGCAGAGCACGCAGTGCGTCCGCTGGAGCTTACAAGCTCCGCTACCAATGTCAGTGCAATTCTTTTAGCTCGGACTGCGCAGCAGTCAAAACTGCGGGTGCGTCCCAGGGCCCTAGGACTAGGGCCAAAACAGCGGCGGGCAGCGTGCATGCCACAAAACAAGACAAGCGTGTACATCATACACACACGGTGGCACGGGCGGCAGAGGGGCAGGGGAGTGCACTCTTCACAATTACAACACACACACAAAACGGCGAGCACGAAAGCACACAAACGGCAAGCTCGCAGGTGCGCAGCCCCGGGGGTGCGGGCCTGAGCCAGATCGAATCGCGAGAGCGGGCCGGATCGGGAACGGGTCGCATCGCCAGCGGATCGTCCTGGAGGGAGGAGGAGGAGGAGGAGGAGGAGGAGGAGGGAGGAGGAGGAGGAGGAGGAGGGAGGGAGGGAGGAGGGGAGGAGGAGGGAGGGAGGGGAGGGAGGGAGGAGGAGGGAGGGAGGGAGGAGGAGGAGGAGGAGGAGGAGGAGGGACGAGGAGAGGGAGGAGGAGGAGGAGGAGGAGGGAGGAGGAGGAGGACGAGGAGGAGGAGGAGGAGGAGGAGGAGGAGGGAGGAGGAGGAGGAGGAGGAGGAGGAGGAAGAGGAGGAGGAGGAGGAGGAGGAGGAGGAGAGGAGGAGGAGGAGGAGGAGGAGGAGGGGGAGGGGGAGGAGGAGGAGGACGAGGAGGAGGAGGAGGAGGAGGAGAGGGAGGAGGAGGAGGAAGAGGAGGAGGGAGGAGGAGGAGGAGGGAGGGAGGAGGGGAGAGGGTGGAGGAGGAGGACGAGGAGGAGGAGCAGGAGGACGAGCAGGAGGAGAAGGACGATGAGGAGGAAGAGGAGGTTGAGCAGGAACCGACCGTCCTAGCATTATTATAGGCCTACCGCGAAATCTTCTTAGATTCCAGCAAACGTTCTTAGAACAAAATCAATGTTTTTTGAACATTAGTCCGACGTGTTAAAACAAGACAGTCCCAGCCAGGAATGTTGTGAGAGCATCTCGAGGAAACCACAAAAGTTCTCAGAACCTTCTCTGGTGGGCCTCTGGGCATGCCAGAACGCCTGGCCACTGCTTGAGGGGGAGGAGGAGGAGGAGGAGGAGGAGGAGGAGGAGGAGGGAGGAGGAGGAGGAGGAGGAGGAGGGAGGAGGAGAGGAGGAGGAGGAGGAGGAGGGAGGAGGAGGGAGGAGGAGGAGGAGGAGGAGGAGGAGGAGGAGGAGGAGGAGGAGGAGGGCGGAGGAGCAGGAGGAGGAGGAGGAGGAAGGAACGGGTCGCATCGCCAGCGGATCGCCCTGGATCGGGCCGGCATCGGATCGCCGCGCCTGGCTCCGGCGGCCCCAGGCCGACGCCGGTGAGGCGAGCCAGATGGAAGCGAATCGGAATCGCGGGCAGAGCCCGCGCAGTGAGCCAAGTGTCCTCGGCCTGCACGGCGCCAGCGACCCGACCCCCACCTTTGAGTGGGCCCTTGCCCACCGAGAATGAGTGCAGCCTCGCCGGCCGAGATAATGAATTTCCTTGGTAACCTTTGGGCCGACTTCTTCGCTAGGTTTGTCTCGGAGTCCCACGCAGGCTCGGACACACTTGTAAAGTGGCAGTCCGCGAGTATCAAGGACACTAAGCTCACGTTTGATTTTCTCCTCGCGGGCATCGAGTCGCGGGCGACCCTGCCAAGGTGGCCACCTCCAGTGGAGCAGGGGCCGACCGTCCCGGCATTCCTATAGGCCTACCACGACGTGTTCTCAGAACCCAAACGTGTTCTAATCACAAAAACTGCTCTCTTAGAACGTAATCCCGATGTGTTAAAACAAGACAGCGGCAGCCATAAATATTCTAAGAACATGTCCTCGAAACCCCACAAGGTTCTTATAATATTGTTTGGTAGGCCTGTAGGCAGGCCAGGACGCTTCGCCACGCTTTGATCCAGGGAGGACGAAGGAGAACAGAAGGGAACTATTGGCACAAGAGGGGGGGGCGCAGGTCGACGTGGGATCGGCGATGCATCGCCGACAGATCGGCGATGAGTCCCCCGATAGCGACGCCGCACGTTCATTGCGCCGCCAAAATATGCCCACATCCGCTGCCGCGGGGTCGACCTCCAGGGAGTCAGGGGAGCGGTGGATGTGGACATCTGCCCGCCCATCCGGGCGGGCGGATGTCCATATCCGCCACTCCTCGAAATCCCAGAGCACGACTCCGAAGCAGTGGATCTAGAGCTACTGGCTTAGGAGGGAGGGGCAGGTCGACGTGGAATCGGCATTGCACCGCGCAGACAGATCGGCGATGGAGTCCCCCGACAGCGAAGCCGCACGCGCACGGGCAGGGAGGGGCGCCTGGGCCCAGATCGCACCACCAGGGGAGGAGGAGGAGGAGGAGGAGGAGGAGGAGGAGGAGGAGGAGGAGGAGGAGGAGGAGGAGGAGGAGGAGGATACACACACACACACACACACACACACACACACACACACACACACACACACACACACACACACACACACACACACACACACACACACACACACACACACACGTTCGGCGCTGGGCTCCCCGCGGCGGCGCGGACGCTTCTCACGTGTGGGCACGCTGCTGCTGCTCTCCGAGGCGTCACCCCCCAGCGAGGAGGTCCACGATGCCTCCCCCAGGCCGGAGGCTGGAGATGCATCGGGCGGCGGGGCAGGGGGGGGGGGGGGGGGCACACCGCCAGGGGAACCGCACCCTGGCTCCTCGCGCCGCTGGTGGTGCCGCGTTCCCGTGTTCCCTGGGAGCCGCCGAGCATCTCGGCGAAGGCAGCCATGGGCGCGGCAGGCGCAGAATTTGGACGACGCCAGCCGCATGCGGCAAGGTCGTGTCGTGAAGACCTGCAGGGTGGCTTCCGACACCGCGGGGAGCCCTCCGACCTCGAGCGATCGCGGCCTTCCCACACAGACAAATCGCTCGAAATCGGCGGTTTCTGGGCCCCTGGCGGCATTCCAGCGTGACTGCCCGCGCTGGGGCCGCCGCTGGTCGGGGGCGGCCAAGAGGGGCGTCCAAAAGAGGGGGGCGCAAATCAAGGCCGGCGGCATGTGCGCGGCATGAATTGAGCAGGGACCGACCGCCCCGGCTTTGCTATAGGCCTACCACGAACTGTTCGGGTTAATGTTCTAAGAACCAAAACAATGTTCTTAGAACATTAACCCGATGTGTTGAGACAAGACAGTCCCAGCCAGGCATGTTCTAAGAACATCTTCTTAGAACATTGTGTCGTAGGCCTATAGGCACGCCAGGACGCTTCGCCACTGCTTGAATGAAATCTGGGGAAATATCATGGCCCCCGCCATGGTATCCCCCCCCCCTAGTCATCACACCCCTCCTGGCCGCCCCCGCGCTGCGTCGACGCGGCAGGAGCCGACCATACCAGATCGGCCCGACCACGCGCGCCCGCGCGCGCCAGGCTTGTCTCGCTGCACGGCTGGCGTCGTCCAGGGAAGGGTCGTCCGGTGATGTTCGCGGGGCGCCGGGAGCCGGTCACTGGGCCAAACAGGGAAGGGAGGGAGGCCCCCTGTGGATCGCCAGCCTCTCCGCCTCCTCCTCGATCCCACTGGCCCTCTGGGCGTGGGTCGTCTTGGCGAGTTGGTCCTTCCACTCTTCTTCGTCCATTCAGAGAGAAATTGACGGAGAATTGTTCCCTATTGATACACACCCCCCACCGGGCCGGCGACCACCCCGGGCCACTGCGAACACCCCCCCACCACTCCTGGCAGAAAGCCATGCAAAATGGACCTGGCGCCTGCTGTGTGCAGTGCCAGCACGCCCCACCATCCCCTGCAACAAACACTACGCATGTGCACTTTGCACCACATCCCGGATTCTGCACGGGCGCCCCGCGATCACTCCGCACCGGTATTCGACAGGGCCGGCGAAGGGACCGGCGTGTTGCCAGCTGCGTGCGGGCCCACGACCCCTGTCAACAACAGGTGCCGAACGATTGCGCGTGCACGCTGAGCACACACACGCACACACACACACACACACGCGCACACGCGCACGCGCACGCGCACGCGCACGCACGCACGAAGGCACGCAGGCACGCCAGGCACGCACGCACGCACGCACACACACAAACACACACACACACACACAAACCGCCGTCACTGTGAAGTGGTTTTTGACAGGGATATGGTTGGGGGTCGACATGTTGCACAATGTGGCGCACCCGGTGCGCGCGACACATATGGATGTGCGGCGCACATCGCGGGCGTCGCGCACCTGGCTGGCGCCTGCATTGGTTCCCGGCGGTTGTCGATGGCGGCCCCTGCCTAACTATGCTGAGACTCGGGTGCCACGTATCTGGTGGGAGGACGGGTGTGAATGAACGAAACAGTTTGCGGCGTTCCCGCTGGGAGCCTGACATATCCCTCTACACCAACCCTCCCTGGGCCTGCAGGGGGGGGCGCGACGCGTTTGAGGTCCAAGATGGCCCAAGATAGTCCAAGATGCCTTACATGAGGTTACAGTACAGCCCAAGAGGGCTCACGAGAGCCTCTCACATGCCTCCATGAGGTTCCAACTTCACACCACGGTGGCTCCCAGTGGCGATTTAGCTTTCCGAAGACGCACTCGAGAGGCCAAGATCCCTCCACAACCTCAGGGGCATGATTTTCCCCTCTCGCCGTTTTGCTTCCGATGGGTTCCTGACGCTCAAGATGACTCAAACACGGCCCAGGAGAGACCCCAGGAGGGGCCGAAGACAATCCCAAGAGCGCCCCGAGAGACGGACTGCCTGGCCTTACCTTATAATCGGTGGCCTCCAAGATGGTCCCGAGAGGGTCCCTGGGGCCCTTTGGAAGGCCAGAAGACAGCCCAGAGGGCCTCCAAAATGGCCCGGTGAGCTGCCAAGAGGCTCCCGGATCGAGAGGTCAACAAAGATTCCTGGGCCTGCTCACGCTGATCCCGGTCTTCAATTGGGCGGCTGCCCCTCTCTGTGTTCCACTGCTTGCTCCTACACCTCCCTGCTGAAAAGGCAGCTCGCCTAGGCATCGTTTCTGAACAGGCTGGTGGGAACACGAAAGGCATCGAGCATATTATGTCCCTGTTGTGCTCAAGAGGGCGATCGCAGGGAGAGGAGGAGGAAGAAAAAAGGAGGAGGAGCGGGAGAGGGAGGAGAAGGAGGAGGAGCAGCAGCAGCAGGGGGAGGAGCTGAGCGCAGTTTGATGTAAAGCCTTAGCTCGCAGACGCCCTCTAGCTCGCATAGCTCTGCCGACGCCACACCATTCAAGACGCACCGCTGTCCTGAATCCACGTCGCTCCCCTGCCCGTTTTCCCCAATCGGGCTTGCCACAAGGGTTCTGGGCTCTTCGTTGGTTGAACTGGTGCATCGGGGCCCAGCTTCACCCGTTCCCCCGACCCTCCTCGGCTTCCTCGGCTTCCTCGGGTTGATCCTCGGGTTCCTCGTGTTTCTCGGCCCTCGGGTTCCTTAGCTTCATCGGCTTCCTGGGGTTCCTCGGGCTCTTCGGGCTCCTCTGCTTCATCGGGTTCCTCGGGTTCCCCGGGATGCCAAGGAATGCCATGCAATGCCAAGCAATGCCAGGCACAGCCTATCAATGCCAAGCAATGCCAAACAACGCAAAGCAATGCGAAGCAATGCCGCGCAGTGCCACGCAGTGCCAAGCAATGCCAAGCAATGCCAAGCAACGTCAAGCGATGCCAAGCGATACCAAGCGACGCTAACTAATGTCAGGCAATGCCACGACATGCCAAGCAATGCCAAACAGCGCCAAGCATTTTTCTTACCTCACTACCTCAGTCTAGATGCTCCCTAGCTGCTGAGCGACCACATACAAAAAAATCGACGATGAGCCGACGTCGCAACCAATGGCCAGCACCTCGAGCCACGCAATCGGAACCGCGTCGCTCGCAGTACCGCTTTGCCACGTAGGGAATGAATTAAGAACGCTGTGCCGCGGTCGAGGGTCTCGACGGAAGCCTCTGCAACTGGGGGTCACCCAGAGCAAAGGATCGGCTCTTCAAACCTACATGCAAGCAGATCATCGGATCGGTGGCCAACCCCTCACAGAAGACGGCCCTAGCGGCAGGGGCGCGGGCAATTTGCTTGGTTGGCATTGCGGCAGTCGATAGCGCTGGTCGTCTGCTGCTGGCAATCGCCCCCGCTGTTGTACATCCACTGGCAGCTGTTGCCCAGCAAGTCAACGATGTCGAAGCAGTAGCGCTTGGCGCGCGGGTTCGGTTCACAAATCGGGCAGCCGTTCCTGTGCAGGTTGTAGCCCCGGCACATGCGCGCCCCCTCGGTGGCTTGCGCGCAGTCGTCGCCGGGGGGAGTCCTCATCCAGCTGCGCCCTTTTGTCATCGGGCCTGGCACGTCGGTGGCGGCCTCGCACATCGTGCCCGTTGCGTTTGCGCCCTGTCCGTGCTTGTGGACGTCCGCCTTGCGCGCCAAGAGGGCGGCCTCGTCGGCGCCGCACTCGCCCGCGCCGCACGTCTCGTCACCGGCGGCCCTGGCGGCCAGCAGCAGCAGGAGGCAGGCGGCGGCGCGGCCCCCATGCATCGCGGCGGCGAGGAGACTTCAAAGGTGCCTCTGCGCGAGCTTCTCGAACGCTGGCGACTCCGAGGGTCGCTGCCGGGCCGAAGCGGCCGGAGCCAAACAGCGCCAAGCAATGACAAACCATGCCAAACATTGCCAAGCAATGCTAAGAAAAGCCAAGCAATGCCAAGCGATGCCAAGCAGCGCCGAGCAATGCCAAGCAACGTCAAGCAATCCCAGGCAGTGCCAAGCACTGCGCCCATGCAATAGAAGGCTTTCCCCCACTTGGGGTCGCGCCAGGCCCATGCTTCTCCTGCTGGCCCCCCTCCTCCGCAGCTCCTGCTGCTCGTCGCGTTCGTCGTCCTCTCTCCTTTCCCCTCCCCCCCGTGTGAATGCGCCTTTCCCTCCTCCTTCCAAGAGGGGAGGGTTCGGGATGCTTCGTCAGAAGCCTTCCTCGGGGTCCTTGGTTTTGGGGTCTTGGGCGCGTCGCTTCCTCGGTCTTGGGTTCCTCTGGCCTTCCTCGGGGTTCCTCGCCTGGGTTCCTCGCGCGGTATCTCCTCGGCGGGGCTCCTCGCTTGCTATGGAAATCCATTATGAGATCGATAGCGAGATCGATGGTATAATCGACAGTGGAGACGGTTGTATGGTCGATCGCGCGACCGAAAGTCCAGTCGATTCAGTGGGATCGATAATGAAATCGATTGTGAGATCGCTCATACGATCTACTGTGAAATCGATTGTGAGATCGATAATGAAATCGATTGTGAAATCGACAGAGGGGTGGGTAATGAGATCGATGGTAAAACCGACCGATAAGAAGATCAACCAAAAACCTGGGAAACTGGGAACCCCGCAACCACCGAAATCCGCCCGGAACACGGAACTGGGAACCCGGGGGCCTGGAAACAAGACCCCGGGAACCCAAAACCGGCAACCCGGGAACCAGGCCGCCCACCGAAATCGGGCCGGCCCTTTCGCCAAATCTTTCAATCTCCGCTAGGACCCCTTCAATGCAAGCACTGATTGGGGAAAAGCCGGCCCGACACCAATTGGGAGAATAATTTTCTAAAACTGAACCCAGAGCGAACTCGACGACGTGGACCCGGCGCGCCCGCGCAACTGAAATCCACAATGAACTTCGAGCGCAGGCGCAGCTTCGAGGGTGGAGGGAAGAGAGAGGAATGGGATGATGCGATAGATTTCGCGCGCAGCATGGCTACATGTGTTGTCCAAGGCTCCTGCCGATGTAGACGCTACCAAGAAAAGGCGGCGGCAGCCAGCTGAGAACAGCTGAACTGAAACGGATTCATATACACCAGCACTACGACCACGGGTTTTGCAGCGCTGCATTATCCCTTGCTTCTCTAGGCCTCCTAGATTGGGTCGGAGTAGGTGGGGTCGGAGGATCGCGCCGCATCGTCGATGCATCGCCGATGCGGCTCGATGTGGAGCCCGATTTGCTTCGCGTCGACGTCGCCGATGCATCGCCGACGTCGACGATGCATCGCCTGTGAATCGCCGATGCATCGCCGACGCATAGTCGATGTATCGGCGATGCGGCGCGACCCTCAGAACCCATCTAGTCCGACCCCATCCAGGAGGCCTCTAGCTCCTGGCTCTGCAGTCTAGTCAGAGTTTTTACGGCGCTCGATTGCTTGGCATTGTTTGGCATTGTTTGGCATTGCTTCGCATGGGCGGGCATTGCTTGGCATGGGTTGGCATTGCTTGGCATTGCCGACGACTTCGAAGAACCCAAGAAACCCGAGGAACCCAGGGAATCCGAAGAATCCGAGGAACCCAGGGAACCCGAGGAACCCGAGCCATGTAGATCCATCTATGCTTATTTAGCGCAGCTGCATATTTAGTAGCCGGCCTTTAAATTAGCACCCATAAAATTTAGCGTCGGCGCTAAATTTTAGCGACGATCAGCGTCGACGCATGCTGTGCTCCAACGCGGTATAACATTCGAAAAAGGAAGTGAGACCT